TATGTGTGTAAGGCGGCATGTGTGTTTGAGTGTGTATGTGAGTATACGGGGAAGCAGTGTGTGTGTGTGTGTGCGTGTGTGACAGAGTGTTAGGAAAGAGGGGACACGTATGTGAGAGTGTAAGTGTGTGCATGTGAGTGTGTGCGGGGGAGTATGAAAGGGGGGCCGCGTGCGCGCTGGAGAGGTTTTGGGCTAGCTCTGCGCCTTGCTCATCTATCCCCTCCAGCGCACCCCTGCCTCGCTCCCGACGCGAGCGCTCTGGCTAACCCGACTTCCCTCCCGCCTGTCAAACCCAGCACCAGCTGCTGCCAGGAGCCTAGAGCCTGCCCAGCCCGGCTTCTGCCTCGGTTTCCCTCCTAACATTCTCCCCCCGCCCCCCACCCCCGGGCTTACTTCTCGCCTAGGCTGCCAAGCCGCGATCTCCAAGTGAGGGCTCTGCGCCGTCCCGTCCCTCTCGGGACGCGCTCCAAGGGGCAGGTGGCCTCACAACAAACGGAAGAGGCGGGGAAAGGCCAAGGGAAACTGCCGAGACGGACGGCCCAGACAGGGGTCAGCAAGGCTGGGACGGACGGGGCGCACCGCAGCTGGGCCCGCCTGTAGCCGGGGGACCCTCAGAGACTACTTCTGCCTTCCCCGCTGCAGCGCAGGAACCAGCGAGTGCTTCCTCCCCCGCTCCCTCTCCCTGCCCAAGACGGATTTGGGGGGCTTCCCTCTGCTCCTGGGCTCCTTTTCTGCCCGGACTTTCTTCAAGGCTGGCTTTTAGTTTGTAAACTGTGTTAACATCTGATAAAGCTCCTATCACAAACTGAGAGCGCAGCTCTAGTCTTCTAAAGCATAAACGCCCTGGTTCTGACGGAGGTCTACGGAACTTTGCTATTGCAAAGCTGTACTTTAAATGGCTTCTGGAGGTCAAAAGCCAAAGGGTCTGGCCAAGCCTAAGGACTCCTCAGAATAACGTTTTTAAGCAGCTGGAGGAAATACTAAATATCCATAAAGATACACTCTTTTTTCAACCAAGTTCACGGACCCTCTGAAATCTGCTGGTGGGCTCCTTAGGGTTCAAGAGCTCCTGCCCTAAGACTGTAGCCCCCCGATTTCAAAGACAAGAAAAATCAAGGGGAGCCGCAGACACAAGATCTGAGACCTGGTCCTCTGACTACAGGTTGAGCCCAAGTAAGTATTAATAAAACCAAAGATTCACTGAGGATTAAAATTATTCTGACGGAAAATAAAGTTGCAGAAACAAGACAATGACTCAGGCAAGATGAAACAGCCACAAATGGAAGAATAAACAAGAATTCTGCAAAGGTTTTCAAAGCAGGAGATAGAGTGACATCGACTGTCTCCCAGAAAAATCCAAAGAAGGAAAAAAAAAAGAAACTCCCCAAACATATTTCAGGGATTGTATGAGAAGATTTTTCCGAAGGTTTGGAAACAAGCAGAAGCGTGCAGATGGAGAACGCCGACAGGAGGCCAAGAGACAAGTCTTCATGTTAACTTGCCGGCCATATTTTCATCAAAATCCAAACTTCCAATAACAAGGAATGTAAGAAATTGCCAGGAAGAAACACCACACATTAAACCTGAGCCCCAAAGTATCCACATGTCTCATTCAGAACAGGGGCTGATAGGAGAAAATAGAATGTGATAAGGAAACGAGGTATCAAACCCAAAATCACCTAGGAAAATTGAGCCTGACTTCCCAGGAGAAAAGAAGAGTTGTGGTTCTTTCTGAAACTCTACAAAGGAAGTCTTGCCATTCCTACGTGGGATCTAAGCCTGGTGAGAGCCTCTGACATGGAAATCAACCCTCAACAAGGAAGCTAGAGAGCTCTGGCAAGAGCTGATGGCTATCGGCAGGGCAGGCCCTGGGCCCAAGGTACAGCACCCCTCCCGACTCTGCCAAAGAGCTGCAACCTAGAGGCTTTCTGCTCGCTGGAAATGAGAATCTAAGGAGGATTCTAATGAGTTGTTTGAAAGGATGTCTGGATGGAGAGCCAACTCATGCTGGTGACTGCAGGGAGAGGCGAGAATGAAGGCTTCTGCTATCCATGACACCCCGAGAGTATTTCTCTTCTTCCTTCTCATACTATAATCAATCTAAGGTAGAAACAACCTTCTTGCCTGGGTAGTGTAGTATGATTAAAAATGGGGAGCTGCAGCGTCCGTGATGAATCAAGCTACCCTTACCATCTAGGAATATTTCAGAAGTTACCTCCGAGTCACAAGAAGGAAACACTAGTAGTCTCGGGAGCTCTGCCTTGGACACGGGCATGTCCAGAGGGAGGGGGTCAGTCCTGGAAAACCTGACCTCTAATGATGGCAGCAGTGGGGGAGGGAAGCTCCCCTTTCTCTTGGCATTGGCTCAAAGTCTCCCCAAAGGAGGAAGTAGAAAGTACTTACTGCATAATACGTTCCAAGTCTGAGAGGGAGATTTCTCTCTTACACCCAGAGGAAGTGCTAATATAGAAAACTGGCCAAGTGTGCTCCTGATAGAAACAAAAGAAGCCCGCAGCAGGCGTAACCACAGTCAGAGTCTGCTGGTAGCACGAGACCTAAACCTCCTAGGCTCAAAGCAGCTTGTGAGATTGCTCATTAGGTGTTTTAAGTTACACCTCGGCTCTGCACTGTCTTCTGGGGAACCTGGCTAGGAGCAGGTCCTTAAAAAAGTGCTGGTTTCCTTCCTTCCTTTAGCCCTTCATTCTCTCCTGCCAGGACTCTCGAAACAGCACACTAACTGTCCTCTCCAATGCTCATGCCCGCCATGAACACATCTTTTCTTTGACTTCCCCTATCACCTCTTCCACTGCCAGGTGTAGGGCCAGCTGGGAGAGCTGCAGACTCCTGGCTTCACCACACACTTTGAGACCAGTCCTCTGCCTCTGACCTTCCACCAGCTCTCCTCTTGAAATCCATGAAATCCAACCATAATCCCCTCATCCTATCTTCTTTGCTGTCATGTCCTGACTTCCAGGTCATTTGCCAACTTTTCCAAAGACTTTAGCTCCTGGTTCATGGTTCTCTCCATTCTGTGACTTGTCACTGTCCTCAGGGCCTCCAGTCATGTGGAAAGCCCCAGTAAGAGACTGACCTCACCAGGCTTCCTTGTCCAATGACTTCCTGTTCCACACATTTTAGGCATACTCCAGCAGAAACATCTGGCCTCTCCATCTCCCTCAGAAAGGCTAAAGGGGCACATTTAGAAAGAGGTCATTGAGGCCACTGCTTTCACTTGACACATAAGGAAACTGAGGCCCAGAGAACTGTGATGAGTTAGCCAAAGTCATACAGATAACAAATAACATCTGGACTGAAACCCAGGTTGTCATTTACCCTGTTTCACATTCCTTTACCTTTAAAAATAAGAGAATGACCGTCCTCTTACTGAGTCTGAAAAAGGGAGAGATTATTAATAAACCCTCTCCCTTTATCTACCACCATCTCTTGCCAAGCCCCCAATGCACCGGAGGAAAGATATTCTAGGCACTGGCCAGCAGAAAGCCTGGTAGCTGAACCCCACCCATTGAAGGTATAATTTTGAGAGGGGAGAAGAGAGTAGAAAAGAGAATCATTGGTCAAAGGTACTATAGGAGAAATCCTTTGTTCAATGAGGACCACACAGATCCAATATAAATTGAGACATTAATCTCATTGGCTCATAAGCAAAATTCCTTTCTCAGTACTAACATACAAACCATAAAAATGACTTCTATGTAAAGCTGAGAATGATTCCTTGAATAAAGATCAAAATGGATAACCAAGTGATACCTGCCCTACTTCAGAGGGGACCACCAGACAATCACCTGGTGGGGGATGGGAAGAGAGTGGGAGGAGAGTCAAGGAAAGTCCTGGCCAGCAGGGAAGGAAGGGAAGTAATGCAGGACCCAGAGGACAGAGCCCAAAACTGCTGGTTACCAGGTCCATGATAGCGTGGGAGCAGAGGCAAGAGGGCCCTCCCTCGAGAGACTGAGGAAAAGAGAAGAGAGAAAGCCAAGAGAAAGACCTTGTCTGGAGGCCAAGTCAAGTCACATTCAAACCTGTCCCTCAGCTTCTTTCCCAAGAGTCATGGCAATTATCTCTCACCTTTGACTTTCCATGCTCTGCCAAATCTGAAGGCCAATGGTGGGGTGGCCCTCTTTCCAAGGAAGGAGTTAGCTTTTTCTAATATCTTCTTTTTTCCCAACTATATGTAAAGACAATTTTTTATTTGAATTTCAAATTTTCTCCCTCCCTTATTCATCCCTCCCCAAGACGGTGAACAATTTGACATAGGTTATATATGTGCAATCATGTAAAATATATTTCCATTAGTTGTGATGTGAAAGAAGAAACAGACCAAAAGGAAAAAAACACAAAAAAGTGAAAAATTGTGTGCGTCGATCTGCATTCAGACTCCATCAGTCTTTCTCTTACCTAAGACTCATTATAATGGCTAGAGCTGAAGGAGGGAGGGAGCAATATTATTCACTCCTTCCCTGCCCCCGCCCTCCCAGTCCCAGCTCCAGTTCTTAGGAGGAAAAGGGATCTCTCAACACATGAAGGCATTTTCTCCCTCAAAATTCAGACGCTCAAGCCATATAATTACCTGTCAGGGATTTCTTACTACAATTTACTTCTTCCATGTGGAAGACCACAGTCCATCAAAGAGACGTGGTGCTCCCTAGGAGCTGAGTAGGAAGATGATTACTTTTCACGTTACCCTGCAGAAAGGACTCCAAGAGTCATTTAGTTAATCGCATTTCATTTGGCACTCAAAAAAAGAAAATGACATTTTAACAGGGAAAAAGCCAAGTCTACCGCCCAATAGGGAATGCTGTCTGTGTGCCCCTCCGGTCACGGGGGACTGCCATGCTGAGAGCCCACGAGGGGCACAACCAGCTCTGGCTATGAAAGACAAGGGAAAAAAAGACAAGTTCTCAAAACCCCACTAATTGTGCGGCCACTTGCAAATCAAGAAAGTCAGAACTCAAAAGCAGGATTGAAGTCAGGGACTTGTGGAGTAGACTGATTTCTTACCTCCCGCCCATTCTCCATTTCCTCTAAAGAGGCAGCATTGGCACAGGGGAAGTGCTCTGAATCTGGGAAGAGAAGATGTGGGTTCCCTCTGGGGCCAAGCAGAACAAAGCTGCCCCCTTCACATACTTGAAGTTAGCTCTCTGTCACCCTCGAGACTTATCTCCAGGATCAACATCTCCAGCTCCTTCAAGAGACCCTCACTAAGCATGACCTTGAGGTCACTCACTCTCCTGCCTCCCTTCCTTTGGCCACTGTCTGGCTTGTCAAGGTCCCCCAGAATTCAGGTGTCCAGCATGGAGCACCTTCCATCCAGTGTGGCCAGGACCATGGACAGTGGGATGGCCACTTCCTTATGCCTGGAAGCTGTGATACCCCTCTTCATGTGGCCCCAGGATGCCCTAGGAGGGACTGAGGCAGATCCAGCTGGCAGTCCATTAAGATCCCCAGGTCTTTTTGCACATGAACTGTTGCCTGGCTATGTCTCCCCTGTTCTGTGACTTGTGAATTTGGCTTTTCTGAACCTGGGAATCTTAGGTTCAGTCATTTTCAGTTGTGTCCAACTGGATCCTGGCCTCTGCCTCCCAGCATATGAGAGAGCCCTCCAGCTTTGTATCACCTGCAGCCTTGACAAGCATGCCTTCTGGGTCTTCATCCAAGCCACCTCTAAAATCACAAGTAGTACAGGTTAGGACGGATCCCTGAGGCACTCCACTGGAGACTTCCTTCTAAGCTGATTCGGAATTATTAAAATGACTATTCTTTGGGTCCCCACATTCAAACAGTTCCAATGTCACCGAACTACAGTCCTCACCTACATCTATTTTTTACCACGTGGCTGCCATGAGATATTTTTTAAATTATGGTTATGTTCAAATTTAGGTACACGATATCTGCAGCATTTCTGTGGCCGCTACCTTGATTAACCTGTCCCAAAAGCAAACAAGGCTCCGTCTAACAAGAGCTATTCTCACCAAAGCCCAAACACACCGGCTCTGGTGGTCACCACTTTCTCTTCCGGACCTTCACCACCATTCTAGGGTCTCCCCAGGAAGGCGCTTCAAGTTCTCAGAACTATCTCTTGCAGACTCTACTCTCTCCATCCCGCCAATCTTTAAACTGAGAAATGGTTACCTCTCACCTTCTTCACCGAGATCTTTCTGCACCTAGTACTTTCAGTAATCACTTGACCTTAGCCTCAGTTTGCTAAGCTGTAAAATGGGGGCAGGGGTAAACACTTTGCATGGTATAAAGGAATTGCTGAGTTTTAGCGTATTTTATAAATGTCATTATTATGGTTCTTGAGATGCTGAAGAAGTGAAATGGACACAGGTCTGGCCTCAGTCAGGAAGGCCGGGGCTCAAATTCTGCTATTTCTCTGCATGCCCTCTGAGGTTAAGGCTGTTTCCTGGAGCAGTGAGATGGGGAGAAAAAACTAACTTAGGGGAAAGAGCTCCGTCCGGGCTTGGAGTCGGGAGACCAGGATTTGAATTTTGTCCTAGACACTTACTAGCTGGGTGACCCTGGGCATGTCTCTTCACTGGCTCACCTCCTTCACGGGTTGCTGGTGGTCACAAGAACAGCACTCAGCAGATCTTCGAAGGCTGAGTTATTATTCCTGCCCACCTACTCCATGCTTCACCTCAGTGGGGCTAGGCAAGATGCTCCAGGAACAGCTGCGTTACTGGGTCTACTGTGCTGACCCTAGATGTCTGGTGGGAGACACAAGTGAGAAGTTCCAGCCACCAGGCAGTTGCACTGGGTGAGGCCAGCACCAGGGTCACTGTACCAGTGGACTATGGTCAGTGGCTGGTGAAAAGGAAGTCGGAGGATGGGGAAAGCCAACCATCCAACAAGCACCTCGATATGGAGTCAGAAGACCTGGATTCGAATGCCCCTCTGCTTCTCGTAATCCATCCACCCGGACAGCTTGCTGTCTGCCCTGCCAAATGTGTGGCCCCTGGGCCCCACTCCCTCCTTCCACTCTTGCTCAGGGCAGAGCAATCGATCCAACCCTCCCACTGTGTCTGGAAAAGGTGTGAGAGCCCCACCACCCCCGACTCCCCAGAAGGAGGCTCCCTTCCCAGGGCACCTGTCCTCTCCGCTATGTTGTCCCCAGTAAGCCTCCCCCATCAGACTGCATGCACCTGGAGGGCAGGGGCTCTCTCATTTTTGCACTCGTATCCCAGCACAGGCCGCAGTAGGCGTTTCATGAATGCTTTCATTCACTCACTCTTGCTGGGCAGTGATGCTCACTCTCTTTATCCCTCTGCCTCTATTTCCTCACCTGCTGCTTGTTGTGGTCAGATATTGCTGGCCTCTCCATCGTCCTGCATGTTGGTTTTGATAACTCTGACCAGCTGTTGTGGGGGCTCAGTGGATAGACAATCACTTCCTCACCATCCCGCTAGAGACGGCTGCCCCCGTGCCACCT